AGAGGAGAGACTAGATAAATGGGAGCTCCTAAAAATCAAACACTTATGCTCATCAAAAGATTTCACCCAAAGAGTAAAAAGACAACCTACAGACTGGGAAAATATTTTTGGCTACGACAAATCTGATCAGCGTCTCATCTCTAAAATCTACAAGATACTGCAAAAACCAACAACATAAAAACAAATAACCCACTTAAAAAATGGGCAAAGGATATGAACAGGCAATTTGCCAAAGAAGATATTCAGGCAGCTAAGAGACACGTGAAGAAATGCTCACGATCATTAACCATTAGAGAAATGCTGATCAAAACTGCAATGAGGTATCATCTCACCCCAACAAGGCTAGCATTAATCCAAAAAACACAAAACAATAAATAGTGGAGAGGTTGTGGAGAGACTGGAACACTTATGCACTGTTGGTGGGAACGTAAAATGGTACAACCACTTTGGAAATCAATTTGGCACTTCCTTAAAAAGCTAGAAATAGAAGTACCATATGATCTAGAAATAGAAGTACCATATGATCCAGCTATCCCGCTCCTTGGAATATATCCTAGAGAAATAAGAGCCATCACACAAATAGATATATGCACACCCATGTTCACTGCAGCACTGTTCACAGTAGCAAAAAGATGGAAACAACCTAGATGCCCATCAATGGACGAACGGACAAATTATGGTATATCCACACAATGGAACAGTATGCAAGGATAAAGAACAAAGATGAAGCCATGAAACAGCTTATAAAATGCAGGAAGCTGGAGGTCATGCTGAATGAAGTTAGTCAGTCACAGAAGGACAAACATTGCATAAGACCACTATTATAAGAACTCAAGAAAAGGTTTAAACACAGAAGAAAACATTCTTTGATGGTTATGAGGTTGGGGAGGGAGAGGGAGGGTTATTTACTAACTAGATAGTAGATAAGAATTATCTTAGGTGAAGGGAAGGACACCACACACTACAGGGGAAGTAAGCAATACTGGACTAAACAAAAGCTAAGAAGTTTCCTGAATACAATCGAACACTTCGAGAGACAGAGTAGCAGGGGTAGGGGTCTGGGGACCATGCTTTCAGGGGGCATCTAGGTCAACTGACATAACAAAGCTTATTAAGAAAATGTTCTGCATCCTACTTTGGTGAGTGGCATTTGGGGTCTTAAAAGCTTGCAAACGGCCATCTAAGATGCATCAATTGGTCCCAACCACCTAGAGTAAAGGAGAATAAGGAACACCAAAGATGCAAGGAAAGTAGTAGCCCAAGAGACAGAAAGGGCCACATAAACCAGACTCCATCAGCCTGAGACCAGAAGAACTAGATGGTGCCCGGCTACCGCCAATGACCGCCCTGACAGGGAACACAACAGAGAGTCCCAGATAGAGCAGGAGAAAGGTGGGGTGCCCAACTCAAATCTATTAAGAAGACCAGACTTAATGGTCTGAATGAGACTGGAGGAACCCCGTACAGCATGGTCCCTGGATTCTCTATCAGCCCAGAACTAAAACAATTTCTGAGGCCAACTCTTCATACAGGGATTGGACTGGACTGTGGGACATAAAGTGATACTCGTGAGGAATGTGCCTCTTAGCTCAAGTAGATACAAGGGAGTAAACGGGTAGCTTCTGTCTGGAGGTGAGATGGGAAGGCAGAGAGGGTTAGGACCTGGTTGAATGGACATGGGGAATCAGGGGTGGAAAGGAAGAGTGTGCTGTCACAGTAGGGGGAGAACAATTAGAGTCACATAACAATGTATGTATAAATTTTTGTACCGGAAAAATTTTAAAGATAATCCGATTGTGGTTACTTAAGAGAATGTCCTCGTTCCTAAGGACACATGCTGAAGTATCAGGATCAAAGGGCATGATATCTGTCACTTACTCTCAAATGATTCAGCAAAAGTAAAAATAGAAAGTAATATGTACATTTACAAAACACAAATGTCATAAAATGTTAACCATTAGTGAATATAGGTGAAGGATACATGGATATTCACTATCCTATTCTTACAACTTTTCTGTATATATAAAATTTTTCAAAATAAAAAGATGAAAAACTAGGAAAAATAAGTGAGCCAAAGAAAGGCGGTGCCGTGCTCTCTGCCAGAAGCTAAGAACGAGAGCTGCCTCGCTCAGCACAGTGGCCTTGATTGCCCTGCAGAGGCAAAGTGTGTGAGGATGGGCCCTGCAGCTCAGGGACCTGCAAGAGTGACTGCAGAGAGCTTGCCCAGCCACCCTCATCCCTCAACACACACACACCACTCTCCACACTAAAAGCAGCCCCGCTTCTGAAATGCTCCTTCCTGAAAGGGTACTTTCCACCTCCTCAGATCAGATTCCAATCGTAAAAGGTCGCCTCCATGAGCTCTGCAACAATGGGCCCTCAGCAACAACGTCCACTGTTTACATACATCACGAGTGCACCAATCTCAATCTTCAATCTGACCTAGATTGAATTTAGTGTGATCATGTTACAATTGCCTCCCAACAACTGTATCACTCAGCATCATCACATTTTCTAACAAAAACTATGTATCTTGTGAAGAGTCAGACAGTATAAATTTTTCTGAAAAACTGTACAAATGGCTCCTGTCTTTTCCTATTAAACACCTACCTGGCTTCCTATGTGACAGCCTTTACTATCAAAAACTTAGCCCCAAAATAACCATTCTGTTCATTCATTCATTAAATAGTTCCTAAGTACCTACTAAGGGGCCCTGGTGGCACAGTGGTTTTAAGCACGCGGCTGCTAATCGAAACGTCCGCAGTTCGAACCCACCAGCGATTCTGCAGGAAAAAGATGTGGCGGTCTACTTCCATAAAGATTACAGCCTTGGAAACCCTATGGGGCAGTTTTACTCTATCCTGTAGGGTCACTATGAGTCAGAATTGACTCGATGGCAACAGCTGGTGGTGGTGAGTACCTACTACGTTCCAGGCAATTTTCCAGGTGCAAGAGACAGAGCAGTGAAAAAGCAAGCCCTTGCTCAACCTAATATATGCTAGCTAATATTAACCTTGTGATATGAGTTATTTAATGTAAGTATTCCTATCAAAAATTCAATGCCACCACCTACTATATTTTTAAATATTGCTTTAAAAGCTATTCACTACCAGAGGGTGCTCCTAAAATTTCTTTTATGTGATTATTCTTACGTGGCAATTCTCTGATTTTTATGTTACTTATTCCTGAACACATGTTTGAAATACAAATCTGAAACCTAAACGAAAGTGGAGGGGAGGTGGGAAGAAGCCTGGCCCCCAGATCCCACAGAGCAAAACAGCAATGCCTCACTAAGGTTCTAGAAGGCTCTGTGACTCTCAGGCAGCAACTAGTGTGAGACAGTGACAAGCTTCACAGGAATCCAGAACCCTGGCCCCAGCAGTCATCTCTGTGACCGTGAGGCGACCCAGGAGTCAGGCATTGTCCACTTCTACCACATTGGCACCTCTTCCTCCCATCTTTAAACCTCCATCCTCAAGTCATGCTAATCCGTCAGCAGGAAGAGAAAAGGGACATCTTTTCCCTTTCCTGCAATAGGTCCCCAGAAAGACCTCATGATTTCTTGGGGTGAAGTTCCCACCTAGTTCTCATCCAACAACTAACCCTAGCTGACATTCTGTATGTACCCTGTCTTGTCTCCTCCCCTATCTACCTCCAGCCCCCTAACCAGAGAGAAGGCAACCAGGTTGGGAGGGATGCAGGGCCAGGTGAGAAGATACAGAAGCGGCTCTGCTCTCCAGGAGGGGACTGGTATAAACCTGGTCTTGCATGCCAGGGTGGGGATTGGGGAAGATGGGGGGAATGTGAAGCGAACAAGGAAAATCCCTGCATGTAGGCTGGCCCTGTGAGCCAAGCTGAACCCTCCACCTCCACGTCTGCCCATGTCAGGCAGGCAAGAACCACCAAGCCGTAGGCGAGACATCAACACTACTCAGCTGATGAGTTAAAGACTGAATTCTGAGCCAGTTTAAGGCGCTGGCACACAACAGGGAAAGGTATACATTTTATGAAAGTCAGGCATGATAACTGCAGGTCAATTGTAACTGTAAAAATGTTACGAAATTAACGTCTTTTATAGGCTTTTTTAACAAGCAGCTTTTAAGCAGATTACATTTGCCTGAAACAACTCTGTATGACCAGAGTTTAAAACTCTTTTAAAGCCTAAGTATATACTCTTTATAACTCTGAAAGATGGAAGAATTGATTTAAGAAAAAACAAACCTATTTTGTATATTAAACACAACCTTGCATAATCAAGCACATAAATAAAAAGAAAGAATTTGCGAAGAATTTGCCTTGGGTTAGACCATCAAGGGAAACAAGAAAGTCTCTCTTTATCTCTTTAACCTATCTCGATCTACTATGTCTTTGAAGGAAACATGTATTAAATGTACTTTACTTTGTATTTTGAACTAACAACCTATTACTGCTTTTACCCAACAAAGGCTCCATCAATAAATGAAGTTATTAAACAGATGAACTGGGGGGACACGCACTGGACAGTGGCAAAACCTATGTCTTTTTAAAACTTCCTCTGACAAGTTTTCAGGACCCACTTAGAGAGGTTCTTAAGATTTTTTTGGTAACAGATACTTTTGAGACCCATGAAAGCTATGAACCCTCTTCTCCAGAAAAACACACATGTGAACATAAGCAGATGTTCTTCAGACCATTTTACGAAGGTCAGAGACCCAATGACGCCATCCATGGACCATCCAGAGATCTGTGGATGCCCCAGGTTTAGGACTCCTAGAGACGATGATAAATGCTGCTTTGCTAAACAGAACATTTGAAACTGAAATTTGAGGTTCACACGTATGTGATTATTCCGATGTTATTTAGGAAAAAAACGTTCCAATGATGAATGCCACCAGGATTTTATAACACAAAGTCTATTTGTAAAATAAGCTTACCTCAAAATTCACAGGCAAGTTCCGTTTAAGTGCAATCTCAAACACTTGACTTATTTCAGATTTATTGAGATTTTCTTCTTCTGATTCTCTTCCATTTACCTAAAAAAAGAATAACTGTTTAGTAGTTAACTCTTACTAAAACTATGAACGTTCCAGCTGGGACGACAAACTTTAAATGCCACTGAACCTTGCCTTTCTGGATTTAACACTAGACCAGTGAACAAAGCGGCACGAGTACCATGTATCACTGAATTTAAAAGGTTAAAGACGAAAAATCCTATCAACCTTGGGTCTGATAAAAACCAAAAAAACCCACTGCCGTCAAGCCAATTCCAACTCAGAGTGACCCTATAAGACAGAGTAGAACTACCCCATAGAGTTTCCAAGGAATGCCTGGTGGACAAACTGCCAACCTTTTGGTTAGCAGACACAGCTCTTAACCACTAGGCCGCCAGAGTTTCCTGAGTCTGACAGTACCTCAGAAATCCACCATAAACAATCCATACATAACAGATCTTTGTATATGAAGCGGCCTAATCATGGGCAGTGAGACACCACTGCTGCTTGGGAGCAGGGACTTCCAGAGCGCTGCTATAACAAGTAGTGTCAAGCCACATTTTAGAAAAGGAAAACACATCTGCGTGGGACGTCGCAAGCCCAAAGTCTCTCCAACTAAAGTATGCAGGTTTTTCATTTCAACATAAAGTTCCTGGAAACCGCTTTAAAGAAAGGATGTGGTCAAACAGAAATTACAAAACTGTTGCGTCTCTCACACTGCTCCTGCCAAAAATTTCAAGGTGCAAAGGAATAAAGTCTCCGAAATAAAGACAGAGATTCTATCTTTGTAAGAAGGTTGATTTACAAGCCTCCGGTCAGGCCTGGGACTGAGGAAGGGCAGAGACAGTCTCCCTGCATGTTATAAGGAGGATTTTATACTGGGTTTGAGTGGTATTCTGAGGAACTATACAAACCATTAATAGCAAAGCCCCCCAAAAACATGGCGAGGGAGCGGCATTTTTCTTCATGTTATTGAGAGTTTTTTGTCAAAAGATTTGCAAAAAATCCTGTTTCCAAGATTAAAACTATCTGACAGAAACCTGTGACTGAAATTGCTGAATGGGCAAGGTTCCAAACTATATTTAAGATTTTACCCGTTGTGCATTTCCTTGTTTACCAGGTATATCCTAACTACCAAAATTCGCTGCCGTCAAGTCAATTCTGACTCACAGCGACGCTACAGGACAGAGCAGAACTGCCCCATAGGGTTTCCAAAAGCGGCTGGTGGATTTGAACTGCTGACTCTTGGTTAGCAGCTGAACTCTTAACCACTGCACCACTAGGACTCCATCCTAACTACACTTGACTGATATTAAAAGCTATAACTAAAGGAAATAAACTCTAGGTTAAAAAAAAAATTCTGATTAATGCAATCAAAGGTATAATCCCACACAAATAAATACATTCCAGACTGTGTAATTCCTTCCCTCTTTCCAGGATGATAATGTTTTCTCTCCAATCTCGTTTCACTTCCCTCTCAGCCTGGTCAAAACTATTTGCATGGCATTTCTGTTGACTTATTAATAACCTAAACACACGTTTATCTTTGTTTTTTAAATTCTGAGCAGAAACAGGGACTGCCTTTTTATAAGTAAATCCTTAAAACCAGAAATCTTCAAGCAGTGTGAAGAAGTCTGGAGTCTGGAGTTCCATACAGGTTTGGTTTCAATATATTTTTTTAATGGATTTTTAACTTAAAAAAAAAAAAAAAAAGACTGTATTTTAAGAAGTAAATATGTGCTTCATGCCAAATACTAGCAGACTGGAGATGGTCAACACATTAACATGAGCTAACATATTCACTCATTTTTGTGCAAAACAGTAAATCTTTGACAGCTGTCTATTTGATGAGTATCCAAGATTTTTTTAATAGGTGAGCTGCTTAAAAAAAAAAGGACAATTCTCACGCTAAGTGAGTCAATGAGAATGTTCTCCTTAGTGTACAAACAGAACAAAATTTGAAAATAAACTGGGTGCTGAGGCTAATATAGGACTTCTATCATCATGCATATAGAGGTTTCCCCCCTTTTGTAAGCCGAAATGGCGTAAAGCGAAGAAGGAGTTACCATTTTAATTTATACAGGAAAAATTTTTGAGCGTTCCCAGACCGAAAAAATACTTTAGGACATATCCTGCTAACAGATGCACAAAATAAATCAAGACAAAGCACAGGTGCTCACAGACACAGTTCAAAGCTATGGTGGCCTGATGCTGAGATGCTGAGTGCAGTTCCCAGGGAAGCGGCTTGGCGATGCCACTCTCACTGCTGGGGGTGCGTGTCGCCTCTTTAATGGCTCGCTTCAAAACAAACACTGAAAGCTACTTCCACTTTTTGCCTTTTTTCATAAAAGCAAAAATCCTCTTTGGATTTCTTTCAGTTAGTGGAAATAGGCACTAATGCAGGTCTTTCGTAAAAGCAAAGTGGCATAAAGTAAACTTTCGAAAAGTGAGGGATACTTGTACTCCAATTTTCAGAATTTTGTGTATTATACCAGCCCAATTAGTTTTAACTTTTGTTTGTTTTTAATTATGACGTATCTCAAACAAAGAAAAAATGCAGACAGTAACACAACAGGCAATTTATCTTGAATTCAACACATGTCAACATTAAGTACTACTGACATCAGAATTTTCTTTAAAAATAACAACAACAATGGACTCTTTCTTACTCTCCTGCTCATGGCAGTTAACCACTATCCTAAAGTGGGACTGTATGTTTCTCAACCATGGTTTTTTATTTGCTTTATTAATGGAAAGAAGCAATACACAGTATAATTTTGCTTTAGAAATTCACATTTCTCATTGACTGCCTTTGTAAATACTATAAATTCAGACTTATACGTTTATACTAATGAAAAGCTACTTTTCTATTTTATATATTGAAGTTCCTCATCAGATTGAAAGCCCCACTCCAGAATGTGAACTCAAATCTTTGCAGGTAGGGCCTGGATAGCCATTTTATTTATAGTGTTTGTTCATTCATTCATTCATTTTTGGTTAAGTCCCCAGCTGATTACTAGCAACCAGAATTGAGAGTCACTGCTATAAGCCACTGCTCCCCAAAGAATTTCAATACGGACAAAGCAGTCAGTAAAATAAAAATACAAAACAGGAAATAAACACGTACACTTATTTGGAAGTGAGATTATGTTGCTCTCTTACAGATATTATTTTATGATATTACCTGGGTTGGACAAAAGGTTGCAATGGAGCAAATGACAACACAAATCCACTAGTACCATTCTTGGTGAGACAGGGAAGGTTTGGTGGGCTTCTAGTCTTACTTTCACAAAGTGAGGATGACTGGTAATGTCAACTCCATAGTGTATGGTTCAGCCATAAAATCTAGACAACATTAACGGGGAAAAGACAGTCTTTCTAATAAATGGTGCTGACAAAACTGGATATCCATCTGCAAAAAAATGAAACAGGACCCATACCTCACGCCATATACAAAAACTAATTCAAAATGGATCAAAGACCTAAATATAAAGCCGAAAACTATGAAGTTCACAGAAGAAAAAACAGGACCAATGCTACAGGCCTTCATACACGGCATTAACAGGATACAAACCATAACCATCAGCACACAAACTCCAGAAGATAAGCTAGATAACTGGGATCTTCTAAAAATCAAACACCTATGCTCTTCAAAAGACTGCACCAAAAGAGTAAAAAGAGAACCTACAGACTGGGAAAAAATGTTGGGACAGTACAAGTCGGACAAAGGTCTAATCTCCATAATCTACAAGAAAATCCATCACCTCTACAACAAAAAGACAAATAATCCTATTAAAAAATGGGCAAAGAAAATGAACAGGCACTTCACCAAAGAAGACACGCAAGCAGCCCACAAACACATGAGGAAATGCTCGCGACCACTAGCCATTAGAGAAATGCAAATTAAAACCACAATGAGATACCATCTCACCCCGGCATTACTGGCAGGAACCAAAAACACTGAAAATAGCAAATGCTGGAGAGGCTGTGGGGAGATCGGAACTCTTATGCACTGCTGGTGGCAATGCAAAACGATACAACCATTTTGGAAAATGATATGGTGCTTCCTCAGAAAGCTACAAATACGATCCAGCAACCCCACTCCTAGGAACATATCCTAGAGAAATAAGAGTCGTCACTCGAACAGACATATGCACACCTATGTTCATGGCAGCATTGTTCACGATAGCAAAACGATAGAAACAACCTAGATGCCCATCACCAGATGAATGGATAAACAAACTATGGTACATACACACAATGGAGTACTATGCAACGAGAAAGAACAATGATGAATCTGTGAAGCAGCTCATAACATGGATGAAACTGGAGGACATTATGCTGAGTGAAATAAGTCAATCACAAAAGGACAAATATTGTATGAGACCTCTGCTGTAAAAACCCATGAAAAAGTTCACACACAAAATGTAACTATCTTTGTTGGTTACCAGGGATGGGAGGGGTGGGGGGGGAAATACTAAATAGGCAATAGATAAGTGATATCTTGGGTGAAGGGTGAGACAGTACACAATACTGGGGAAACCAGCACAACTTGTAAAGTAAAGGTCACAGAAGCTCCAAAGACACATCCAAACTCCCTGAGGGACTGAATTGCTGGGCGTAGGGCTGTGGGAACCATGGTCTCGGGGAACATCTAGCTCAACTGGCGTAACACAGTTTATAAAGACAATGCTCTACATTCTACCTTGGTGAGTAACGTCTGGAGTCTTAAAAGCCTGTGAGCGGCCATCTAAGATACTCCACTGGTCTCATCCCTTCGGGAGCAAGGGAGAATGAAGAGAACAGGATACAAGGAAAAGATTAGTCCAAAGGACTAATGGACCACAGCTACCAAGGCCTCCACCAGACTGAGTCCAGTACAGCTAGATGGTGCCCGGCTACCACCACTGACTGCTCTGACCGGGATCACAACAGAGGGTTCTGGACAGAGCTGGAGAAGGATGTAGAACAAAATTCTAACTCACAAAAAAAAGACCAGATTTACTGGCCTGACAGACTGGAGAAACCCCGAGAGTATGGCC